GGGGATAAGAACGTTAAATTGAAGTTTCACACCTTGTTTCGTTCGGTTCTGTGAGAAGTATATTGGATTGGACAATTTAGTTGAAACACTGAAAAGCAGCGTCACTTAAAATAATTCAGTGTTCAAATGGAATCGCAAATGGTACGGTGATACATAATGTGGCATAGTTATCATGAACAGTATGCGGATGATATAACCCAACTTGTTACATCTAACATAAGCTTTCAGTGTTATTCTGTTATATTGTGTTATCCTGTTGTATTTTCCTGAACATTCTGAAATCAAACAATTTTCAGATCATTCTAAAATCTATACATCTAAAATGAAGGGAACGCAAGACCACATTATTTAAAGTCAAAAATTAGAAACTGAACTGACCGAAAGGATGAAATATTAATTAAATATTAAGTTAAATTAAATATTAAGTTAAATTCAGATTAAATATTAATTAAACATTGATAAACAAAAAATATTAATTAAAACAAGCATAATCTTATCATACAACGGATGTAGTACCGTGTATTAAGAACAGAAGAAGAACAAACGATAGAACAAGAAACGCGAAACGGAGAAAAAGAAGCAAGAGAGGAGATGACGACGACGTAAAGTAAAAATAGAAACACGGAGTACGAAGTGAACGAAAGTAAACGAAGAAGACAAAAAAAAAAAAAAAAAAAAAAAAAAAAAAAAAAAAGGAAAGACAGAAAAAGGAAAAGGGCAAGGCAAAGGATATGGCGAAGAAAGCGTAGAAGAAGGCCAGAAGAAGAAAAAACGAAAGCTTTCGAAGAAGACGTGAAGAAAGAGAGAGAATTTCTTCAACGGGAGAAAGAGGAAGGTGAAAAAAGAGAGCTTGCGAACTTATTTCGATAAGCGAGACGCGAGTCAGCTTGGCTGGTTGACTGGCTGGCTGTCGGTGTGTAATGGAACACGTGCCTCGAGATAACGACGTGGAAATGAAAGGCAACGAGTGATAATGGCTCTGGCGTATGGGGCTTCGCCGTTCTAAGTGACGAGGAGGGGGAGAAAAACATCAAATTTCGCGTTGCGGATGTTTCGCGGAATCACAGATAGATGAATGAAGGATGAGAAAGATCGTTTTTCGAGAACTGGCGACGTTTGTCGAGTCTGGTGAGTGGGACGAGATTTTCATTGAGAAATTGACACAGCGCGTGAGTGGATTTAGGTTGCCTAATGAAGAAAGTTGACGAACTTGGATCGATGAGCACGATTGCTGATTATGCTGACTGCTGGAGATTCGAGTAACTCAGAGGGGAATTGAGAAAAAATTCGGTGATCATTTGGACGTGTCAGCGATATAGTAGAAAAGTATAGCGGCTGTTGTAGCATTTATTTACTGTCTAATTGGGATCGGGTGTGCGTATGGAAATTCATCGCTCAACCAATACAAATATTTGACATTATGAGAATGAGATACAGAGCTTAATTGAAAGAACGTTCGAAACGTGGCTTTCCGTAGCTTGACGCGATTGGCAATATCGATGAGCAAACATCCGGTAGAGAAGACCGAACAAATAAATGAGAAATGCGAGTTATTAACTTTCGTGAACCGATAAATTCGAGGTAGCAGAGATATGAAAATTACTCGACAAACTGCAAAAGCAAACAAACAAAACGAGCATTTAATGTAGAGTATTAAGTACTTTCCGTACGCTTGACCACTTGCGCTGATTGCGGACCATAACGAGCGGCCGAATCGTATACAATGAATTCGTCGCTTTCTTTCTTTCACACTTACGACACTACATCGATAAAAATTATTGAAAAGTAACAAATTTATTATATATTTGCTGTTGCCTGAGTTATATTCAAATATACTTAAAAAAAACTGAGAGAGAATATTGCAATTTTGGGACGAAGAATTGTCAAAGTGCAAGAGGTTAAACTGATGGTTAAATTGGTTAAAAATTTCGGTGGAATGTCAAAGCGATAAAAGAAAAAAAACACACACACACAAAATGGAGTAAGTTGAAATTGCAAAGGCGCAGAGGAACGTGACACGATTGCGGTTGGATGATTCGATAAACGTGTATCAACGACGTAATGGCACGAAAATGATCACGGTTTGTGGATCAGCTTGACGACGAGGAGGACGCGAGTTGCTGGCTCGTGTAGAAGCGAACGAGAGAACAAAAACAGTTACGGTACGGCCTGATACAAGGCTTGAAATAATAATAACGTGGAAAAATCTCTACAGTCTGCGGGGATCAAAGAAACGGCGAGGCTAAGTTCGACTCGAGCGAAAGGACGAGAAATGGCTGGTGGTATCGGATAGAAAAACAATCCGGGGTGGTCGAAGATTACGGAAATGGTGATGATACCACGAACAACCACGAAGAACCGAGATCTCGTCTTTGGATGACGATCTCGATTTATTTTCTAGGAAGTGTTATTGCAAAAAGTTAATTCTCATTTTAAATGAAACGACTAGCTCGAGCAAGAGCCGCCGAAGAATTGACTCGAAGAACGTTTAAAATGACGCAAATTGCTCCAACATGTCAATTGCTCAACATGATTTAATAGGTGAATTAAGTTGCACTTATCGTAGACTAATTGATCGACTAAGTGGTCGCATTCAATTCATTTCGAACTATGTACGTACATCTATTAAATGTAATCGCTTCCAGTGTATTTCAAACTATATGAAATCTATTTAAAATCAGCTTGAGGAATAACAAATAAATTATATCGTTCCCAACGCGATGCCACTGTTGAACGAATTTTATTTAAAGAAACATTGCCAACAGAAACAGAACCAACAGGAACATTTAACCCAACATGAAACATAATCTTTCCAACTAAATTTAAAAGATCGTAAGTTATTTATTGCATTTATTAAGTTCATAGAGTTCAAAGCTCGAACCAGTGGATGAACCACTGTCGTGGACGTGTCGATCGACTTTTACTTAATTTTCCTCCCTGAGAAATGGGAACAGGCCGTACGAAATTCTCCGTAACGAGGCTAGAGGAACGAAACGTTGCTTTTCGCCCACTTCAGAGAAACGATCGCCAGATCGGTCTATCGATTTAAATTCAATCGTGAAGGGAAGACCCTCGGAAGTCGGAGGCAAGGGACCGATTGGGAACGGTGCTGCAACGCTTTCTACACTTTTATCGAGCCCATCGATCGCCGTGTTACGACAGATTCAGCGCGCGAAGCTCTCGGCGCGATTGCTGCCACCGCGGCTCCGCGGCGGCTGACGAAGCGAAATCGCCGCGTGCATTACGAAAGTTAACTGGAGCACGAATCGACTTTCGATTCGGTGCCGCCGCCGCCGCCGCCGCCGCCGTATCCCCCCGAAAACCGAGAGTTACTCCAACGAATTGAGAGAGACTTGGGTCGTGGATTCGACTTTGGCAACTCGCTGCATTATGCAAATAAACGCTTTGAAAACGTAAGAGAGAGAAAGACGGATGATGAAGGGAATTCGAACGCTCCAACATCTCTCGCGGGACGTGGAAACAAAGCGATGAAAGAGAAATATCTAAACTCCAAAACTCGTTAAGGTGGACCCGATGGAGATTAGTGGAGATTAGGTGGATTTAAACTCTAAACTCGAAGAACAATTAACTCTGATTGTGTGGCGTTTCTGTTTGGCAATATCTGGTGAAATTGCTGACGCTTTGAACTGTTTCGAACTTTCTGAAAAGAAACTGCGTGGTGCAATTCGGTCCTTCGCTCGATCATACATCTCTTGTTCCTGTGGAGCCGTCTGATCGATCTCTCGCGAAAAAGACTGACGAATCATCGCGGTGAATATTTTCGCAGACGATTTAGAGATCGCGGCAGGGAGCTGCGGGATATCTAGTCGCAGGTCATTCACACCGCGAGGGGACGAGCAGTAAAAATAGAACGAGAACGTCAGGAGTCCATGCTCTCGCGCGCGACCACGGAGGAGGATGATATCGACATAGACGACGAAACTGACCCAGAAGAGACGCAGAAAACACCCTTGCGACACGTCCTGAGCACAACCTGAGTAGTTTTAAAGATTCTGTTCGACCGAGTGGCTCCTAAATACTTGTATCTTTTCGAATCTTCTCAACCCCTTGGCGCTGGCAACTGGTCCGCGGACCATAACGAGCGACCGAACCGTATACAATAATTCGTCGCTTTTCTTCTTCTTTTTCTTTTGAACTCGTCGTAGGTACGATATCGCTGGACAGAAATTATTAAGAGGTAATAAACTTATCGTTCGCTGTGCCTGGGTTGTTACATTTAAATATAACATAAAAACTGAGAGAATGTTGCAATTTGGGACGAAACGTTACTCCATATAAACTGACGCGTGGTTTGTATCAAGAGTAGCGAATTTTGGAATTTTATTTGATCCAAGGAAAGAGGGAAATTCGTGTTGAGCAATTAAAATTGAAAAACTAAAAGAGGCTTTCACGTACGTAGAAGTTTCTCTATTTGATCTGGCGGATTAAACGAATAACAAATATTTCCTTCTGGCCGATAGTTCGAAGTCTGCAACGAACGAAATAAGCTGCGTCAACGTCCCGGACAATTTCTTAATCGCTCGAATAAGTATTCCCCATTGCTGAAAGTTACGTTGTCAATTCGAAACGCGTACAATGGAAAACAGGGTAACAAATGGCCCCTGTGAGTGCCCTCGGCTCCCGCCAACTGCTATTAAAGCTCATCGCTAACGACCAATTAAACTGCAATTAAATTGGTTTCACTCTGGCAGCCCTAACAAGACACTGCTCTCGCAACTGCCACGTTTGAATTGTAAGAAACATCGTAAGAAACGACGTTAATCATCGCCTAATGTGTCTGGAAAGAAAAGAACAAGAGAACTCTAAAACTCAATTTAACAAACTGTCGTACTGTATAAAGAGACCGGTGTAATAATTTTTCTTAATTCGCCCGGATAATTCGTGGATCGATCATTTTCACTCGAGAAGGTCTGCCTTTCGTTCTTATTGTCTTTTTCAACGTACGGATAGCAACTCAGAGGGCAACGTTCGATACGTACCTGCGTGTAACACCAATTTTCGGCCACGGGGGTGTTCACTTCCGGTGGTGGAGGGCTAGGTACGCGGCTTACTGCCATACTACTGCTGCTGTGCAAGTTTGAGCTGACCCGCGACGTTTGAGGCGCACAGTCGCTCACCGCAAGCCTGAAACAATTTGTTCCCATGTTATCCTATAATTCTACTAACTTCTGCAGTTTCCGTTTTTTTTTAATCAGATTATTCCTCACGGGGTTGGCAGAACAAAATATTGGTATGAAACATTTGCTATTATTTGTTGCGTGTCTAGTTTGGATTAAATGGCCCCACGTTGTTTTCCAAATGTTTTACTCTATCTTTTGGGCATTCAATCATCGACGAAAGAAAACGTAAGAAAATGAAGAAGGTCAGGAGTCGATAGAGCGCTAGAAAGCAAGGCAATATAATTTTCGGAGGAACGTCCACGCTGACGTCTGTACAAAAAACGGCAATATTTCATCAAGAAAAGAGGTTTAATTTATGGCACAGCTTTAAACGTTATTGCTCTCTCTGTCTAAAGATCTAGAGTCAGAAGAGCCAAGCAACCCGTTACAAGGTGACAATGGTGTCGTACCTATAACAGAAAGCTGCCAACATAACGGCTGCTCTCAAACTTCTAGAAAAATTTTATCTCGCAGAAACTTTATGCTAACCCCAAAGTTTCCGACGCAAGACGCTCGAACGTAATTCCAAATATCGAAATCTTTCGTCTGTAAAAACAATGGGTTGTATTTGTTCTGAAATACATATAATATATTTAATATTTAATATAATATAATATGTTTTATATTTAATATTTAATATAATATAATATGTTTTATATTTAATATTTAATATAATATAATATATATTATATTTAATATTTAATATATATATTATATTTAATATTTAATATATGTAATATATTTAATATTTAATATAATATAATATATATTATATTATATTTAATATTTAATATATGTAATATATTTAATATTTAATATAATATAATATATATTATATTTAATATTTAATATATGTAATATATTTAATATTTAATATATGTAATATATTTAATATTTAATATAATGTAATATATTTTATATTTAATATAATATATATCTAGAGAATAGAACTGACTTCGATTAAATTCCACTGCATTGGTTTTGAAATAGTTTCGAATACTTGCATTTTACGGATAGATCTGTCACAGCACAGCGTGTACTTTTGGAGGCTCGAGTGCAATTTCTTCCCTCACTCAGAATTCATTGGTACAAGTGCCATACACCTTTCAAAGGGTCGGCTTTCAAAATCCTTGGAACTATGAGAATTTCTTCTGTTATCGAGACGATAAGAAGAACGGTGGATGGCAGAGCACACGTGAACGTCCGCGTGTCGCACGTTGCACCACGAGGAGGGAAGTCGCTCGATGCGAGGGAAAAGGGGTGGCCGGAGGAACAAAGAGGGCTGTGAACACCGGCGGAGAAGGAGGAGGAGGAGGAGGTTGGAGAACGGAGAACGGCGAACGAAGAGGGTGGGGGAGGGTAGGACGAGAGAAAAGAAGCATGAAAGAAGAAGGGTATGCAGGGCACGCGATGGTGCTCACGTGCGCCAAGTACGGAACTACTCGAGCGTCATCGAGTCGAGTACATTAGCCCCGCAGGTTCATCGGACCTGCTTCTCGATTCTCTAGCCGAGCCTCTAGCCTAGGAGGTCGCCGCTACGCGACTTCTCGTCTTAACCTTTTAACCCTTATCGAGTCGGTCAATCGATACGTTAACGCGATAACCGCGAAGGCGGATTGCTCGGGCTGGTTAATCGTGACGAGACTTCGGCAACGATATCGTCTTGTTCTCTGCGTTTCGTGAAACAAAAGAAAAAAAAATCGAGAATCGACTTGGTGAATCGCGAAGTCGTGTCCTTCCTTTTTTTTTTTTTTTTTTTTTTTTATACTGACAAAGAGAAAAATTACGTAGAAAAGATCGTCGATGATTTATCCTGTTTGTGCGTTAAATTTATTCGAGCAATGTGATGATTAAATTTACAATCTAAATGATATATAATGTATCATGTTATATATACGATATAATCAGAACATTTTGATCGTGTCATTTAAGAAATTACACGTTCAGTTAATTATCAACGTACTGATTTAGCATATTAATTTGAAACAAATATGCACTGTAATCAAGCAAATTGAATAATTCAATGAGAACAACATTGTTCGTTTTTTTTTAGAATATAAAAGAGATGGAGTTGCAGAATGTAGAAATATAAAATAAAAGAGGAGATTTCGATATCGAAATTCTCGTTTGTAAAATGTAAAATATCATTACCCAGTTTTCCGAATTTCCATGTCCCAGTTTTCACATATTTTTTTGCATGTAGATCATTCGCCTCTTTCCAGCACGTAATTATTCAAATTCAAATACAAACCCGACTGTCTCGAGAATGAGAAAATGAGTCTTCAGAAAATGAAAAAGAAAAAATGTTATTCTTTCTTTTTAACGTTATACTTTTGCGCGTAGGAATCTTTTGAAAAATGATTACGCTTCTTCACGAAAAGCAAATCTCCCTGATCGACTGATTGGATTTTTCAATTTGATCGAATTTAACGGCGAAACAGTTGGAAGTGAGCGAGTTCGATGCGCTTTGAATTTCAAATATACTCTCCGAAACTGGTCGGGGAATCGAACAAAAGTGTTCGTGAATGGTCGCGGGGTACCGGATGAGTTAATATTAGTATTTATCCCCTTCCAAAGAACAACGTTTCCGCTTACGGATGCCATTTGCGTTGCATTAAGAGACGTATGGAGGTATGGAGGTGAACTACATACGGTTAAATTATTGTTCAACAGACAGACGCACACACGTAGCGATGGAAAAAGTGTTTCAACCGCGCATACGATTAACCGCGATACTAAGGGGGAAAAAAAAAAAAAAAAAACGATAAAAAAGAATACGCTGCGACGAAAAATTCTTACATCTCGAGACCGCGGTTCCTTCGTCGACCTGACACGATTCCACGCGAAGTTTTCGAAGTGATCAGACAACTTTGACTTCGTAGGAAATTATGAAATCGTTTCAGAGTTCTGAACTTTACAATTCTTTCGATACTTAACATATAATACGATATCGGATGGTTATATTATATTTATTATATTCAATTCCATTTTATATCCTATATTTTCATTCTGAAGAGTAGTGATAAAAGAAATTGAATTGAGCAAAAAATTTCAAAAATTACGATCAGTAGGAAGACTTAAATTTGCACGACTATTAATATTTAATGGTACCAGTTGAGGATTCAATCTACGAATTTTAAATTACGAAATTATAAAATTAAATTAGTCAATTACAAGTTACAAAATATTTGAAATTTCGAAGCGTCATACCAATGCTTATCTACGATTAATTGAGATTTACGGATTCGAATTAGTGAAACACGATTATTTATCTCTAAATATACGGTGCTTTTCGACATTTGAAATGCGGAAGCATTTGTTGCTTTGATTTTGACGGTTCGACAAGGTACATGTATCTCTGTTTCCGCGAGATATACATGTAACATTGTGCACGAGCGCTTGGTAAACGAAAAATAGCCTCATTTCCCCCCTTTCACTTTCCAGCACACGCTCTTTGCGAGCAGCAGAAGCAGATAAGAGAAATCTTGCCTCTATCTGAACACATCGATCAAACGGAATAAAATTTTTTTACCAACTACGGGGTGAAAGACAACTTGAGAAAGTCATCGGTGCTTTGCAATTTCCTTGCCACTCGAAATTCAATCGTTTGGTTAGTCGAGCGTTTCAGCCAGCTCAGTTTCTCGCAACGATAAGCTTGGGCAAGAAAAATTACGGAGAAACGTCCGTAAAAATTCACTGAAACCGCGAGTCGCAAGGTGAAAATTTGCCGTGTCGTGTGATAACTAAAGCTCGTCGAGCTTCCAAACGATAAACTTGTTCTTCCTATATAAATTACTCATGAAATGAATTGAAACGAACGAAATGAGAAACAAAACGGAGAGAAAGAAAATTCGCTCCGCGGAAGAACGAGGCGTGAAAGAACGAAGAAAAGGAAGGAGGAAAATCTCGAATCTGGTTTGAAAAGGCGAGAGTGATGCCGTCCATTCGTTAAACCTCTTTATACGTCGTCAACATGTTAACCGGCGCCTTTTATACCACGTTCCTCCCCTCTCCGCCGACTCGTGCCCGTTCTAACTTTCACTTCCACGTTTTACTCCCACGTTGGCTTTGCGCTAGATGCACAGTCGGAGGCGTCAGGCGAAAGAGGAAGAGGCCGCTATTCGGGACGCGGCGGCGACGTCGAGGGACATTTCGCCGAGAGAAAGATAAACGGTTTCTATCGTGATTCCACGGTTTCAACGTTCAGGCGAAGGAAGCGGAGGAAGGGAGCGCACATGGACACGATCGGGGAAGTGAACGTGACCGCTCACGATCCGATTTTGTGGGGCCGCCGGGTGTTTCAGTAATACATTGCAGAGCCGATTACGCGCTCGAGAAAGAAATACAGCGTGGATAGAGCTCCGTTATTATGTATCGATTCGTCGGTAACATAATTTATATAAAAACTGGAGTTTACATAATTGGAGTTCGTACGGTGGGAGTTCAGGTTCGAACGATCAAGAGTTCGTTCAATCGGCTTTACGCACGTCGACAATTTTTTTATTCCAAAATTATAACGTTTCCTCAAGGTTTCAAGTATATTTAAGTAAAGATAAAAAATAACGAACTTATTACCTCAGTGGCATCGAGCTCGAAAAGAAAGCGACGAATTACTTGTGTTTACGGTTTCGGTCGCTCGTTATGGTCCGCAATCGGTTGCCCAGCGCGGGCGGTTGAATTTTTCGCGCGACGTTTGGAAGCAGATGAACGAAATTTTTTTTACTGTATTGTATGGAACACCTCACGAGTAATATTATCAAAAATAATGTAACGTATCAAACGATATTATCAAAAAGACATATTTTTGGGAAACTTGAATATCCTCCTTTCTCGTCAAATGCAAGCGAAACATATGGATACACTTGACACACTTGTTTATTTTACACACACACACACATACACAGACACACAACATTGGAGGCTCATTCTAAGAAATAAGATCCAAGTTATGTTGGCCAATCAATG